CCCGATAACAATCATAAACTCCAACATTAAACACACCCAACAATATCTACGGATGCCCTGACAGGCTAATTTTTACGACGTAAGTTTTGTAAAACTAGTTTTGAACATGTGGAAAGCTTGTTTTACTTTATCGGTTTAATTTATGACGTAGGAAACTGTAATTTGAGCCCACTCCCTCTCTTCTTACGCACATACACACATATATACTTACATTACTTATATACAGGGAACAATAGTAGTTCTACAAAAGGATACTATGGACCGAACATGTGACAAATGACGAAGTTCTACAGGTAATTATAACAAAAAGCACACTTATACTTAACATCAGGAACATACAGTTGAAATTTTTGGGCGAAATAAATGAGGAAAGAGGGATTAGAAAACTTGATACTCACAAGACAGATTGAAGATAACAGGGCCAGAGGAAAGCAACGCACAACCTACCGGTCGAGCTTGAGAGAATGGATGGCGAAGCAAGATTTGGGGGAGATGGCAAAAAGACAACAATTATTAAGAGTTACAAAGATCAGGAAATTGCGGAGAGCCATGATCGCCAAGGCCCTAATGGGACACTGCACAAAAGAAGAAGAAGAAGAAGAAGAAGAAGAAGAACTGAATAGCAAAATGGGAAAAATCTTATGTAACGCTTTTCGTCTTTTAAAACGTGAAGAAGTCCTTTTTGAGTCGAGCTAGATTATATAACTGATTTCGACCTTAAAAGACTTCTCAATTCTCATCAATTATCTTTATATATATATATATATATATATATATATATATGTATGTGTGTGTGTGTGTGTGTGTGTGTGTGTGTGTGTGTGTGTGTGTGTGTGTGTGTGTTTTAAAAGAGAGAAAGCCGCAAACGTTTTTGGTTATAAATAGTTTTTAAAATATATTTAATACTATATTTTTCCATATTTTTGTAAAATAAAGTTTAAAATCATTATAACCAAAAACGTTTAATCTTCTCTTTAAATCACTCACTTTCTCTCGTTGAAACAACTATAACCTCTCATATATATATATATATATATATATATATATATATATATATATATATATATATGTGTGTGTGTGTGTGTGTGTGTGTGTATATATGTGTGTATGTGTGTGTGTATATGTATGTGTGTGTGTATATATATATATATATGTGTGTGTGTGTGTGTGTGTGAAAGTGTGTGTATATAAATATAAATAAATATATATATATAATTATTTTTATATATTATATGCGCATTACTTAATAAGCGCTCAATATCAGAGATAAAACTAACATATTTGGTTGGCTAGATGTGAGTTTTGTGACCCTAGGTTTCGCACTTTAAGAAAAACTTGAAACCAGAATTTTAAACTTATCTATCATATATATATATATATATATATATATATATATATATATATATATATATATATATATACGACCGTTATCGTCCGTTATCGTCGCACAGCAATCTTCTACGCCAGCATAACAGAACATCATCTTTGATAGGAATATCACTAGTTAACTGTCCATATAACCTCTCTGAAGATGAAAACCATGTGAGCTGAAAGCTTAGATCAAGGAACAGTTTAAGCAAAAATATCCAAATGTTGGACAATTTTTCTCTTTACTTTCAATTCGAAATTAAAAGCATGAAGTTTAGAACAGCTCATGGTTAAACATAATAAACATTCATCGTTATATTTAACAATATATAATATATATATATATATATATATATATATATATATATATATATATATATATATATATTAATCATTTCACCCCAAGCAAGGTGTGGATGCTACTAGGACATGGGGATTACAGAGAGTGAAAGTGAGAGAGGAGACTGGGTATCGGTGGGGGGAGATTGAGGAAAGGATAAAAGATGAGGGGATTCAAGAAGACAGAAGATGACGATTGACGTTGCATTTAAATATTTGAAGATTTCAGTTTTCAGGGAAGCAATTAAACAGAAGGGAGCTCCACAGGCGGGAAGTGCGAGAAAAGAAACTGTTGAAGTAGAAGTGATGGTTGCATTTAAGTACTTCAACAGTAAACAGGTGGGACCTAGATGCCAATCTAGTAGCACGCTTAAATTCATGTAGTCAGGGCACTAGGGAAAAAAGCTCGTCAGAGCAGTTACCACGAAAAAATATTTTAAAAACATTTCACCCCAAGCAAGGCGAGAGGGCCACTGGCACGCGGGGAGGGCTGCAGAGAGTGAAAGTGAGGGAAAAAACTGAGTAAAGAGGTGATTGAAGAAAGGATAAAAGAAGAACAAGTTCAAGGCAACAGAAGATATATACATATATATATATATATATATATATATATATATATATATATATAGAGAGAGAGAGAGAGGGGAGAGGGAGAGATTTATATTATTGTTCACCTATTACAAGACCAAAGAGCCACTCAAAGGGGAGCTTACTAAATGAGATTTTTGTAAGGGAGGAAGTAAGAAGTGTATATTATGGGTATATGTAGGAAAGATAAAGGTTAGCAATAGACTTGAAGTGGTTAAGATTGTAGTGATCGCGGGAGCATCCTCTCGGGAGTATTCCACAAGGTGCAGACATAGAAATCAACACTGAATAGCGACTGATAGTTTTATGCGTCAGTAGATAATCGGGACTTGTTTTACTCCTCTTTGTGTAGGTTAAATATATAAGCTACTATGAGCGGAAAACTGGTTTTTCCCAGGTTTTTGTTTCGACCTTGAGTTTATTTATTTTGTATTTATTTTATTATATTTCATTTTTATTTTAATTAATTAATTTAGATTGAGTTTGGAGTTTATAAGACAATACAGGACATAATCTCAGACTTAATTTCCATATTTTAAGCTTCGTTTGCCACACCCGTAGAATAGTCTGACTAAGCAATCCCAGACGCTGTTTATAAAAGGACTGGATTTCAACCAAAGAGTGGACTACTATTATCGCATGAAATAAACGGATGCTTGCTATACATAAGTGGCATCAATAAGTAAGCAGTGTGACACATGTAGTTATTAGCTGGACAGGCTTGTATCAATAAAAGGAATGACAAAAAGAAAAGGTATTATTACGACGTGTTTCTTTCCTTGAGCAAAGGTCACTTCAGTCTCACCACTCACTGTGACCAAAACTCGGGAGGTAGCATTTTATGGGTTATGCTCAACTTGATACAGATAACCGCGTCGGTTGGCGCAATACAAAAAGAACATGGACGGTAAGAAAAAGGAAAAACCAACAGCCGGAGTTCTGAAGACAATGAAGGAAGCAGAAGGGGTAATCTCATTTCCAGATTTCGGTTTTATTTGCCGTTACCCGCAGTAGATCCGACTGCTAATCCACTCCAAATGTTGCTCACAAATGGGCGGAATTTCAACCAATCCGGGTGCTACCATTATCGTTCAAGAAAAAAAGGAAGCACACTATTTTAATTCAAATTTTATTTCCTTTCTTCGATCTAAAGTTCAGCATTAGTTTTAAAATAAAATTTTATTTTGAAGTTATCAATCATCAGTTGGTTGCTCATTACAGTCATCTCTATCCGGAAGCAAGGCCTCTGATGGGGAGGTTTTGAGGAGCAAGGAACCACCTCTTAATGGCTGTTTTTCCTGGTCCACCCTGACACAGAGTGGTAGAAACATGTTAGAGTAGTCCTGGGTATGACGATAAACTACATCCTGCACCAAGGCCACTGGTCAGGAGATTGGAGATTTTGAGGAACGTGGAACCCGTTCTTAATTGCTGTTTTTCCTAGTTCAGCCCTGACACAGGGTGGTAACACCTATTAGAGTCCCAGCCAAAATAGTTAACCCCTAAACTGGGGTCAAAACACTATGAAAGTATAAATTAGAATTTTATAGTAAAAATATCAGTAATACATATTAAAAAAAAAATATACCAGCAATATATTTGACTCTCGAAAAAAACATTTTTACAAAAATAAAACCTGATCTACAAACAGATTTCTTACAAAGAATACATATTCCATCGATACGAATATACCTTTAAAATTTTGTTGGCATTAAATAACCATTGAGGTTGATAAGCCGTAAAATAAATAAACCAAACCTTTGCAATTGTGATGTGGTTTTAGATAGCTGTAAATAATTTGCGTTTGCACTAGAACCATAAATATAGATTTGGTTTGAACGAAAGTCAGAATAGTAGGCATAAGTTTGGTTTACATGATAGTCAAAATGCTAGACACAAGTTTGATATGCACAAGAGTCAAAGTGGTAGAAACAGATTTGCTTTCTTTTTTTAATCATTTAACCACAAGCAAAGCAATGAAGCCACTAAGACGCAATTGGGTTATTCAGTATGAAAGAATATGAGAAAAGAAAAAGATTTTTAAGGAGAGAGAACAATAAAAGAACGGGAATTAAGAAGACAAAAGGTAATGATTGACAACGCATTTCCATTTTTGAAGATCAAAGTTGAATGGAAATCAAAAGACCGGAAGTGTGTTCCACAAGCGAGCAGAGCGAGAAGAGAAGAAAGTATTAGCATAGAACTTGCGGTTTCATGTAGTCATTTCAACATTAAAATGATGAGACCTAGTTGCCAATATGGGATTACGTTTAAATTCGTGAAGTCGTCTTATCAAAGAGAAAAGCTCGTCAGAACAATTACAATGAAAATATTTATAGAAAAGGCACAGGGAAGCTACATTACAACGATGGGAAAGTGACTGAAGCCGAGATGCCAGGTCGAGACAAATAATATTGCAGATGCATTTTTGGATTTTATCAAGAATCTCTAAATAAAGAGCAGAAGCACCAGACTAGATATGCAGAAATATTCAATCCATGAACAAAGGATAGACTTATAAAGGCGTAAGGTAGAGAGTTTATCCTTTTCTCTCGCACATTCTTCCTTTCTCTCCCTCAGTTATATATAAAAATAAAAAAGGTAGACATCGACTTGGTTTGCACAAGAACAGAAAAAGTTAGTCATAAGTACAGTAAACAGGTGGCCTCTTTAGGAGATGCAATCGGCATATTTATGACCCCAACTGATATGGCAGATAGATAGATAGATAGATAGATAGATTCGAATTTTGGCTAATGATTATTAGAACAAATTCTATGAAGTATTCCTAATATCATGCTTGGTTCTTGCTACACGGATTACTGGTGTCACTCGGGCAATTTTTATAAAATAAATAACTAGATAAAATACACGCCCGTTGAAATTGTTTTGATGCAGGATCCCTGTGACCAAAACAGCTGTAAATTTCTAAGCAATATATAGTGGGATAGACCTCGTGTCATTGGGGTTGTTAATATGACATCTATCATTTATCATGCCTCGGCACAGGAATTATTTCAGACGTTCACTGCTGCAGACGGAACATTATTATTGATTTAGTTTTTGTCAACTGTCCTCCTCCTCTCTTATTTGCACTAGCATAAATGCATTCATATTTACTCTCTTCAACCAAACCTATCCAAAAGAAGTTCGAAAAGTTGGTATAACCAATTCTGAGGGCAATTATCCAAAGTAGCATAAATCAGTCGCTAGACTCACACTCCGGTAAAAAATAACACACACACACACATATGTATGTGTGTGTGTACATGCATCACACACACAAATATATATATATATATATATGTGTGTGTGTGTGTGTGTGTGTGTGTGAGTGTGCGTGTGTGTGTGTGTGCGTATCCATTACACACACACATGAGTTTGAGTGTGTGTGTATGTGTTTGTGAGTGCAAAATATATATATATATATATATATAAATATAAAAGTGAATATTGAAGTCAACACTCAGGGGCGACAGGCTGTTTCATGGAGGATTGCTCCAGCATGAAACAGCCTGAGTGTTGACTTCAATGTTCACTTTCATATTATATATACATATACTCTGTCTCTGAAATGGAGCACTTTATCCCATAAATATAGCACACCTTAAAACTATATATATATATATATATATATATATATATATATATATATATATATATATATATATATATCCAAAGAGAAAGAGTGGGGAAACTAGTGCCTTGTGTGTATATATATATATATATATATATATATATATATATATGTGTGTGTGTGTGTGTGTGTGTGTGTGTGTGTGTGTGTGTATAGGTATGTCTATGCGTGTGTTTGTATACGTTCTTATATATACACATTAAGGAGAGAAAACCGAGAAGCCGTATTTATTTGGTTATATCTATCGTAAATATAATAATATCCATATATATATATATATATATATATATATATATATCGAGAGAGAGAGATTGTGAGAGATTTAGATAGACGTGAGAGACCAGCGCCTTAGTTTATTATATAGCTAGGTACTTAGCTAGCTAGTTAGCTAGATAGATAGGTTTGGTTTACACACATACAGATACATATATATATATACATAGATCCATCTATGTATGTGGAGAGAAACAGAGAGAGAAAGAGAGGGAGAGACATCAATCGGTAAGTAGGATCATTAGAAAGCTTTCAGTGATTTGTAGAGTTTGTTGTAAAGCGAATGTGTAATCCTTTTAATATATTTTGGTGAAGGAGAGTGGAATAATGCGCTTTTTCAAGGCATTCTTTCGTTCCTAAACACGCATAGCAAGAGAGACGGCAAAAGCCTCGCGAGGGAGAATGGATCCACGCATGCGCACAGAGAAATAGCGATAAAAAAATACATTACGGGTAAATTATCATAATTCCTATCCGAGCGACAAATGTCAGCAATTTTCGTCAGCCAATCACCTACATACATATATACATCAACACATACGTACATACCTCAGCGCGCACACACACACATATATATATGACCATAGATATGCATACATATATGCATATATTCATATACGCAATTGCATCTATACATGCTTATACACACACACACACACACACACACACACACACACACACACATATATATATATATATATATATATATATACATATAGATACTAAGTCGCGTTTTATTTTTTATATCCAGACATCACTCTAATAAACGAACTCATATACACACAATCCTCACACACATGTCTATTGCACACATAAATTTTTGCACACACACACATACACACACACGCACACACATATATATATAGTAAAACATTTCTCATTAAATAATTTCGACATGTATTGTCTACTTATTTTTAGTATGAAAGGATTATATTCACGGACAAGCTTTTTAGTATCCTTATTAAAAGAAGAAAGAAAACTACCATGCATATTCATTTATTCCGAGTACTTTCGACATTGGCGAAATGTCATCTTCAGGGTCTTGTTTTATTTAAGACAAATTTGTTGTATTTATCTGAAAATTAATTTAAAATCGTTAAACATATGTGCTATACGATTGTAAAACTATTATGATGTAAGCACACTGGTGCAGTAATTTCGGGGAGGTAACTAAGTTACTAAGATGTTTATGTATTGTTTTAAAACTATTTAAAGCTATTAGTTAAAATCTAGATATTTTAAACTATCTACTTTAAACATTTTAAAAGATTTGTGCAGTATTCATAATTAATTTTATTGAAGGTTGGTTGTAACTTTTAATATAGATAGCTTTAAAAAAATTTAGCTCATGCTTATTATTTTCATGAAAAAGTATAAATGTATTTTCAACAAGAGTTTTTTCTAAAATGCGAATGTGGACAGACTTGCTGTTGTAAATGTGTAGAAATGTTAGACGCATCATTTAAATGAAGACTCAACCCCCGAGACAACGTAGTTGTAGTGTAACCAATATAAAAAATTTTTTTTCTGTTGGGATATTTAAATTTATATATAATGTGGGTTTTCTAAAACACTTTAATAAGGATACTAAGATGCTTGTCTTAATGAAAAAAATACTGCAAATATACATAGTATATATATATATATATATATATATATATATATATATATATATAAATATATATATATATATGTATATATATATATGTAATTTCATAATATGATTCAACTCATTCCCCCGTCTTTTGAATAGGAGTAAAATTTATTTCTTGTTTCCTGTTTAGTATTGGGGTTTCTAGTTCCTTTTTCTAATACGCATTCTCTTTTTCTCCCAGTAGCTTGCGTTTTATTGCATTATCCTTGTGTGTGATAAAATGATATATATATATATATATATATATATATATATATATATATATATATATGTGTGTGTGTGTGTGTGGATGCGTGTGTGTGTTTGGGTCGATGTGTGTTCATGTTCTTGTCCGTTTGAGAGTTCGCATCCTCTCCGAAATTTAAAATATTTCTAGCCATCGATCTTTTACGGCAAAAATATCATATTTTGTAAGTCAGAACTGGCGAATTCGATGTTAAAAATTGTGAATAAAGCGTTAAAATTTCTCAGCTGTCAAACTAAAACGTGTCTTATGAAGTTCTTGCTAATGGAACCATTTAACGCGCTTGACTCTTCACAATTAACTTTGAAGTGCGTCGTGAGAGTGAGAGTGATCCGGATGTCATGCTGAACATTCCAGCGAGTTTTGATTTTGTCTCTCGTGATGAAGTGAGGCCGACAAACCCACTTCACAAAAGATACATAGTCGTAGCAAATGGAAAAACAACTTCAAGGGATATTTTTGGCTAAATTTGCATATGTCTGCATTTGTCTTGCTCAAGAATTTTAAAATGAGTTTAAATAATTCCTTCCAGAGTTTAGCTTTCTAGTCAACTTTGATCTTCGAAGATTCTAAATGCAATCTCAATCGTTATCTTCTAACCTAAAAACGTAAACAAGAGTAAATCTGCGTCAGAATTAGTGGGTGGAACTCTATGCCTTCAACAGAAAAAAATATTTTATCAGTATCGCTGAAGATATAATTATATGAGTTCTGTCTGTATCAAATATTTTATATTAACGAATTAATGGTTTACCTAGGGAAATCTTCGGACATCACATATTTATCTCTGCATCCCTTCTCATCTTCAGAATAATCCACAGAACCTTCTTTCGGGACCACCATCAGGTGCCACGTCGCATTTTGCTCAACATAGAAAATTGCTACAAAACATTAACCTAAAAACTCGATAAATGTTCTTAAATACCCTCGTCAGATCGAGTTTCAAATTGATGTCACACATGGCGTTAAACTCATTTAGAAATATCTAAACTGTATAGAATGACTTTTCCAGATCAATAGTTAAAAAGGGCTTCGAGTTAGTGAGACATGTCAAAAGTATTTGCTAGCACAATACGGTATTCGAACTACTATCCGAGGTTATTATTTTTGGCCGTAACATTTCTCCCCCAAAATGCAACGCACTTTCCTTATACACAGATTTACCGTTTTTTATTCCGACTTGAAGACGCCTATCATAAAGAGGCGAAACGCGTTGTCTGAACAAGTTTTTCTGCTTTGTCTTATATTCACTTTTGTTCAGCTATTATTCTACATCCTATCAGCAACCACATGTATATATACTGAAAGGTGTACATATATATGTACACGCTTATATGCATATGTAGTCTATGCATATGATGATATGGGATCATAGATATTTAACTAAGTAAATGTTCTGTAACGCTGCTACAGTGGGTGAGGGATTGGGAAAATGCATAGATCTTAAACAAAAACGTGTAATAGGAAACAATTATTATTTACAGTATATTCGGGCACTTGTCTTCATCTTTGTTGTTCCTATCACAACGTTCCAGCCATTGTGCTTTCCGGTCACCCTCAGGAGTATATCGACCCGGGTAATCTACAGGGCATTCTAAACTGAACCCTTTATTTAATCTACGGGTGCAAACTGTTCTCGTTCCACTGCCCATGCCTAGGGATATTATCTACTTCTTATTTTTATTTATTACTGTTCAGTTATTTCCACTGAGTGAAAGTACACACTGCCCGACCCATGGATTGAACTCACAATGACTATATCACTAAATTTACAAACCAACGCTTTAATGCCCTATTGTTCCGTAAGATGGGATGCAACAATCGTTTGATGATAATCTACGTATATAAAACACAAAGTTTATAATGGTATTACTCTTCTCATGACCGCCGTAACAGATTCAAATCCAGGGCCTCTTCACTCCTGTTGGAGGAAGCCCTCCCTGATTGACCATGTCTTTACGAGTGTAATTACACTCATCACGCTTGGCCAATTGCTCGTTGGTGAGGTTATTTAACCCATAGTTGGAGGTTTCATCCAAGGCTATAGAGGCAAGTCTGTTCGGCTACTTACCCATAGCTGGGTGGAGAAGAGATAGATTTATACGTACTTGGACGTAAGTGAATTCAGACTGGAATTCGAACTCGGCTCTCCGATTCTTCAATACGAGCCACTATCTATTACTCCACTACTTATTTTTCAACTTTTCCAGTGTTCATTATTATTCTTCTGGTAACGTAGTAATCATGATTATACTAATAAAAAAGAAATAATGCGTGGGATATTTTAGCTGATATTGAACAATTATGAGGTGATGAATCTGAAAATAAATTTCATTTTCCACTATTAGCTGTAGTTTTCTTGATCCACAATATCATATCCTACGTAAGAAGTGATCATAATAGGGTTAGGTCACTGTAGGTCACATTAAGCACAATCTTCGTATGAAATATAATACAGGTTCTGAAATAAGAAAGAAATATGGCACAATATGTGATTAAAATTCAAACATTGAAAACAACTGGCATTAATTGCTTTCACTTATTTGATTAATATTAGTAGAATTGTCCCGTTCAAATGTCAGCCATCCTTTTTTTGTTCCGTTTTCCTTGATGCCGTTCTTCCATAACGATAATGTCCTGGTGGAATCTTTAGCTAACATCACCCAAATTAAATTACATTACGGACAATCTCAAGCTTCTATCATAAATATTTCATGCAGACTATGTAAAGTGGTTATATTCAAGGACTGTATAATGTTTCCATATTAAAATTAAATGGATTTTTTCTATTCCCTGAGTAAAGTTTCTGTTTTCTAATTATTATACACCCAGCAACCCCTTGTCCTAGGGTTGTTTTTGCCTTATTTGGGCTGAAATTAATAAAACTTGAACACACACACACACACGTATATATATATATATATATATATATATATATATATATATATATATATATATATATATGTGTGTGTGTGTGTGTGTGTGTGTGTGTGTTCAGGCGCGTTTAATTGATTTCATATATATATATATATATATCCATATTCATATCTATATCTATCTATCTATCTATCTATCTATCTATCTATCTATCTATATATATATATATATAACCAAATGAAATGAGAACGAATCAAATACATAAACGTTGACAACATTAATCTACCGCCTGATGATATGCATCGAAATATGAATGCATTTATATAGCGGTTTTACATATGTCCGAATGTAATATCTAATAATAAATTATATATATATATATATATATATATATATATATATATATATATATATATATATATATATATATATATATATATATATATATATGAATATGAATATATATATATATATATATATATATATATATATATATATATATTCAACCTGTTATCCTGCTTAATAATGAGATATTCTATTTTCATAGAAAACGATTCTGTTACTCTTGTCGTGTAAAATCTAAAGAAGAAGTGAACAGACCGCGTGACCGATAAGTGCATAAAACCATATTTGTTTTTCAT